CTAATGCGATATATACCTGAGCAGCAATTGAAGTGACTGTTACCAAATGTCATCAGATAAGGTTAATGTCATAGGCTTTACATGATATAACTAGGAGAGTAATTGAGTATATGATGATTGATTCACACTTATTTATAAAATGATATATTCAGTCATTTTTTCTGTTTATCAAACTGTTTTTTGTGTACATACACATTTTTTTTTTCAAATTCTACCTTATTTAAGCACCAGTTCTTTTATTGATTTTTTCAGTATACAGTATGGAATTTTTTACCAAAGAATTTATTTGAACAGTTTAGAAGAATAGCGAACTTTTACTTTCTATGTATTGGTGTTGTTCAGGTAAGTAATAAACAAATTACTGAAATGTTGAAGCTAAAGTAGGCATAATGCAGGTAACTCCTGATACCAGTATATTACAATTATTTATTTGTTATTAGTGTTTGTTATCTTATTTTCTAGATATAGACCAGTCACTCCTGTTACCAGTATATTACAATTATTTATTTGTTAATAGTGTTTGTTATCTTATTTTCTAGATATAGACCAGTCACTCCTGTTACCAGTATATTACCATTGGTATTTGTTATTAGTGTTTGTTATTATATTTTCTAGATATAGACCAGTCATCCCTGTTACCAGTATATTACCATTGGTATTTGTTATAATTAGTGTTTGTTATTTTATTTTCTAGATATAGACCAGTCACTCCTGTTACCAGTATATTACCATTGGTATTTGTTATTAGTGTTTGTTATTATATTTTCTAGATATAGACCAGTTACTCCTGTTACCAGTATATTACTATTGGTATTTGTTATTAGTGTTTGTTATTTTATTTTCTAGTTATCTATAGGTACACCAGTCACTCCTGTTACCAGTATATTACCGTTGGTATTTGTTATTATTGTTTGTTATTTTATTTTCTAGATATAGACCAGTTACTCCTGTTACCAGTATATTACCGTTGGTATTTGTTATTAGTGTTTGTTATTTTATTTTCTAGTTATCTATAGATACACCAGTCACTCCTGTTACCAGTATATTACCGTTGGTATTTGTTATTAGTGTTTGTTATTTTATTTTCTAGTTATCTATAGATACACCAGTCACTCCTGTTACCAGTATATTACCGTTGGTATTTGTTATTAGTGTAACAGCTTTTAAACAGGTTTGTATATGTCTCTGAATTTACTAAAAAGCTAAATAAAATGAAAAGAATACAGTCATCTACATATATCCAGTTGAGAGAGCTATATCCTTTTTCAGAAGTATCAGGATCATCTGCAATTCAATTACGGCTTAGAAGACTGTTCTAACTTTCATAACATTTCTGACAATTAACATTCAGGCTAAACAATGTCATTCTTTTTTGTCTATGTCAGATGACAGCTGGTCTTTTAAGGGTCAACTTTTTTTCTACACCCATGTTATGGTTGTGTTGTACCCTGAATGTTATTCCTCTATATTGACTTGTTGTGTGGGATTAAAAGCCATAACTGTGCAGACTTTACTTTTTAAACATAAGCTGTGGCTTTAAAAATTTCTTACTTTAAGAGAATTGGAACCCATGGCACCCAATAACAGTCAACAATCTAATACTAGCCCTCAGTCTAACAGAATATTGTCTATTTTGTGTATATATTGATATTTGATTATGCTTGAACTAGTTTCATTCAAAATCGCTTCCTCTTATTACATTATGTTATTGTAAACCTTGATACCAAAAAAACAAAGTAAACTCCAGCTCAACATAATTGACAGGTAAAACCAATACAATACATAGTTTGAATACTGAATTCTTATTTATTCCACACCATTTAATATTTATCTAGGGTTATGAAGATTGGTTAAGACATAAAGCTGATAAAGAGGTTAACAGTCGACCTGCTTGTGTTCTACGTGATAAACAACTATTAATGGTTAAATCTATGCATATTAAGGTAAACAACTGAAATATCCATATTCATATAGCTAGCAGGTTTGAACATGACATCTTGTAGAAAAGTCACTAATTAAGTGTGCTATTGTTCATGTATATCATACAGGGTATGCCTCTGCAAAGAAGAAAAATTGTGAAAAAACAGCACCTGAATTACAATTTATTTAGTTTATATTAGATTATCCAGGCCACAAAATTTGAATAATTGTGAGAGGGAAAATATCTTTGAATATTGAGACTCTTTTCATTTTCATTTGCTCTGACATTGGTTGCTTTTATTAGCTTTAAATGAAGCTACTGTTTTTACACTTTTTGATGCAGAATTGTACAATTTATTGTTATTTTATCCATGTTTAAAACATCCTAGAATTATTTGCTACTTTATTTGAATTTAGGTTGGTGATATAATAAAAGTAAAATGTAATGATGGATTCCCCTGTGATTTATTATTATTGTCATCATCTAATAAAGAAGGAGAATGTTATATAACTACAGCTAATTTAGATGGTGAAACTAATCTCAAGGTATCCATCTTTATTAAAAACTATAATCTTAAACTGATATCAAGCATATTTCTCCTCTGGTGTAATATGTATCTCAATTTTTTTTATGAACTTACATAAAATTGTGTATTAACAAGGGATTTGTCTTGAAATTAGCAGTAACTAAAAAAGGATTGGAATAATATCAACTATCCTGTATCAAGAGATAAGATACATTGTTTTCACAAATCACAAGTTGTGCAGCATACTAGCATGATGAATTGTAAAATAGTTTTTTGAATAGATTTTGAATTACCCTTAACATATTACTGTAAATCTTGTTAAACTTGTTAAAAGAGGAAAATAAAATTTGGTCAAAATGTGTATGATTTATGATCTTATCAATTCAGACCCATAGTTGTGTACCAGAAACACGTCACCTTCAAAATGAGACAGAGTTTGATAATTTTGAAGGTTTTGTAGAATGTGAACAACCTAAACCTGATTTATATCGATTCATTGGTAATATTCATCTACCTCAATCAGGTCAACAAAACCTTATCAAATCATTAGGACCAGAAAATATGTTACTACGAGGAGCTAGATTAAAAAATACCTCATATATCTATGGTAAGTTATACAGCCACTCTCTGGGTGGTAAAATCCCCAAAGTGACAATAATCTTCTGTATCTTGTAGTTATTTGGCCATGCTGTGTGGCAATTGTCTTGACAGGATTTTCTGTCGTGGGAAATAGTGTGAGAAGATGTCTACTTAGTCACCTTTTCATTTATTGCTGACCATAATTTGAACTATACCACCCAGGGTTTTTAATTCAGCCATTAGATAGGAAATGGAGGTTTAAATCAAACTGTTGAATGAATCCTAATAGAGTAGTATGTTTTTGAACTTCATATTCTAGTGGTTTTTGGGGTTTTTTTTCAGGTTGTGCGATTTATACTGGTCAAGAATCCAAGATGGCACTAAATTCCAAATTTAAACAGACCAAATTTTCTAGAGTTGAAAAGTGAGTGAGAACTGAAAATTCTATAGAATATAAAGTAAAAGTACTACCTTAATTTAGACTTAAACATTCTGTAAAAACAAATTTCAAAATGATATAACATACCATATTTGGATTTTTTCAAAGCTATGTAATAATCTGTTATCTTTACAGGTCCATGAATAATTTTTTATTGACATTCCTGTTAGTGTTATTAATAGAATGTGCTGTGTCTACAGGGTTAAAATTCTGGTATACAGAGAATCATAAGTTACCCTGGTATATACCCAAGGGTAGTGGTGACAATGCCACTGTAAGTACAAATATTATTATACCTCAGACAGAAGGTGTTACAAGTGACATAAAACCTTTTACCTTAGAATTCTTATTACCATGTGGGGTATTCTACTTATATACCTTGAATAAGTTAAAAAAATAGCTATGGTATTGCATTTAATTGTCTTGTATATTAGCATCCAATGTGATACTGGCTGAAGCTCAGTCACTACGCATTAACTAGTTAAAAGAAATCTACACCTGTTTTTGATCAACAAGTAATACAAAATGATTTCAATGTAAAGTAATAAGCTAGCAAATATTCTTGAATGAAGACATTATTTAGTATGAAATATTTTTTTTTTACTTCAGGCGTTGGATATATTAAAAGATTTTTTAGCTTATATGGTTTTATATAATTATATCATTCCTATATCTTTATATGTTACTGTTGGTAAGTAAACATCTCATTTCATTTAAAATGAAAAATATCCCTTAAAACTGAACTGATAAAAACTATTTTTAACACAATAATTTGTATTACTAAACACATTCTTAGAAAGATTTGAATAGCTATAATCTTTATATTATTGTGATCTTTGCCCATTTAGAATGTATCACAATACCAAATAACCAATACCAAGATATTTGTTATTAAGACGACATTTAATGATTTTTTCTTTCAGAATTACAGAAGTTTATTGGGTCCATGTTTTTTAGTTGGGATAAAGAAATGTATGATGAGAAAATGAATTTAGCTGCTAGAGCTAATACATCAGATCTTAATGAAGAATTAGGACAGGTCAGACTTAGTTTGTAAAAATTTACGTTTTTTTTGAAGTACAGTGGCCTGACTACACTGTAGTTAGTAGGTAGGGCATGAGTGCATGGTCAATCTTCGTGAACACCTCATGCCACTCTACAACTGAACTGTCAACTGGGTATCTCTTTTATAGAGTCTACATAGATGATATTGTTAATATGGCATATATATTACCATGGGATTCCAATAATTTACATAAATATAACTCAAATGAAGAGATATTGTTCTTACCTAAATTGTATTTATTCGTTAATTCATCAACATATAATCATTCATTGGCTCTGTTAATTCTTTAACTTATATTTTTATTTAGTTTATGTCTAGAATATCATATATAAACATTCACTTAATTAATTATGTAACTTATTCATTCCTTCTTGAATTCAATTTAACCATTGTTTTTTTTTATTAGATGTAGCACTATTTTATTTTACCAATTCGTAGGTAGAATATCTGTTCACTGATAAAACTGGTACATTAACAGAGAATGATATGAAGTTTCGACAATGTTCTATTGATGGTAAATTATATGAGGAAGTATCAGGTAGACTTTATACTAGTAGTAATGGTGATCAACAATCTGAATATGTGGCTCAGTATTCTGTAAGTTAACAATCTCTACTATTTTATGATCAATCCAGTTCTTGATCAATTCCAGTGAAAGAAAAGTTATATAGTTTGGACAAGAAAGCAATGTTTGCCACATTGTCTGGTTCTTAATGCGATCTTTCTTGAACAGATCTGTGTTGTATTTGCTTCATTTTGAAGTCATGCCAAATAATCTGTCAAAGAAAAATTGAAAATCAGTATAAAGATTATTTTGCCAATATGTTGTTTTGGATTCAGGTTTTATTTTGCAGTTTGAATCGTTAGTACTTGGGGTTTATATTATACTTTCCATCTGGTTCCATCAAAGTTTCATTTATTTTCAGACTAAAATGGAGGAGTTTTTTCGAGTGTTATGTCTATGTCATACATGTAGAGTTGATGTACCTACATCATTTAAAGATGATTCATTAGGAGCCTCTAGTATATATCATTATGAATATGAATACCAAGCTTCATCACCTGATGAAAAAGCCTTTGTTGAAGCTTGCAGCAGGTAAGATCTATCTATTGTGCAATATGTTGTTATCTGTATTTCTGTAAATTGTAGATATGGTATAGTAGTATCATGTTGTATTCTGTAAATTGTAGATATGGTATAGTAAATCATGTTGTATTCTGTAAATTGTAGATATGGTATAGTAATATCATGTTGTATTCTGTAAATTGTAGATATGGTATAGTAGTATCATGTTGTATTCTGTAAATTTTAGATATGATATAGTAATATCATGTTGTATTCTGTAAATTGTAGATATGGTATAGTAGTATCATGTTGTATTCTGTGAATTGTAGATATGGTATAGTAGTATCATGTTGTATTCTGTAAATTTTAGATATGGTATAGTAGTATCATGTTGTATTTTGTAAATTGTAGATATGGTATAGTAGTATCATGTTGTATTCTGCAAATTGTAGATATGGTATAGTAAATCATGTTGTATTCTGTAAATTGTAGATATGGTATAGTAATATCATGTTGTATTCTGTAAATTGTAGATATGGTATAGTAATATCATGTTGTATTCTGTAAATTGTAGATATGGTATAGTAATATCATGTTGTATTTTGTAAATTGTAGATATGGTATAGTAAATCATATTGTATTCTGTAAATTGTAGATATGGTATAGTAAATCATGTTGTATTCTGTAAATTGTAGATATGGTATAGTAATATCATGTTGTATTCTGTAAATTGTAGATATGGTATAGTAATATCATGTTGTATTCTGTAAATTGTAGATATGGTATAGTGTATCATGGTATTAATGATGACTATATGGAGGTTTCATTTCAACAAGATATGAAAAGATATCAGTTATTACATACATTAGAATTTGATGCTGATAGAAAGAGAATGAGTGTTATAGTTAAGTGTGATAATGGTAAGTTAAACTATTATCAGACATAGTATTTCTTGTGCTAGCAGCCATATAATCGAAATGCTAAAAAATATGGTAATTTACAAAATTTCAACTTAAATGCTAAGTCACAAAGTCTTAATACAAACCTAATGTAGATTAAACAACTTCATACCTTCAAGGACTATATCGTGATCAAATAATTTCACATTCTATTTATAGGAGATATATTCCTGCTATGTAAAGGAGCTGAATCAACAGTACTAGATAAAGTGATATCAGGTGATATTATATCAACACGACGCCATATTGATCATTTTGCTATGGTAGGTTTTAAAAACTCTCAATTTCATAAAAGTTTTTTTTCTTGCATAAGTATGTACATGTATATATATTTGTCTTGTATGCATTGTACTGTACAATTTCGATTCGAATATACCAATTCATGTCTACTTATTTTTCAGCTTGGTTTGAGAACATTAGCTTTAGCACAAAGACAACTAACACAAGACACGTATAATGAATTTGATAAATTGTTACATAGTGCTAGAACGGCTTTACAGAATAGACAACAACGGGTATGATCATATCATTATGATATAAAACCAAACATAAACAATACGCGTTAGACCTAGAAAAGTGATAAGAGACCCCATTTTATGCAGATTTTTGAATTTGGTATACTTGTTGTATGACTGAACTGTATGTAAAAGTTTTGACTTAAAAGACAAAAGCATTGATTTTCTGCTGTGTGGGAGTTTTCCGTTCATTAACAACCTCATTTTTATTTCAGCTTTCTGAAGCATTTGAATTTGTTGAGACTGATTTACATGTACTGGGTGCTACAGCAGTAGAAGATAGATTACAGGAAGATGTTCCCAAAACCATTACATCTCTAAGACATGCTGGTATTAAGGTATAGTTGTATTTAGATTGATTCTGAGTAGATAATAAGAGTCATAAAATTTCAACAAACCTTTGTACCGAAATTTGAAAAATATATATATTTTGTATATATTTATCTTTCCCTTCAAATTTCTTATTTGTCAAATGTAATGTTCATCAAAAATTCTTTTAATATTTCTTTATACTAGCATAAAATCAGTTCATTCTTCAACAATTCTTCAGATTTGGGTATTAACTGGTGATAAAGAAGAAACAGCAGTTAATATCAGTTATTCAGCTGGACATTTTAAACAAGGAATGAATGAATTACATCTAACAAAAATAGAGGAATCAATGTTCTGTGCTGAGAAACTAAGACTTCATCTGATAAGGTATGACTGCGTTTATTAGAAATGTAAACATATCAAAGTTCAAAGCTCTTGTTGAAGTTCATTTCATTCTGGAGACACTAACAGCTTCTACATTGTATTCAAAACATTTAAAAGAAGTAAAACATTTTAAGTTCCATTTGGCTTTGCTATTGCGAGGTTAGATAATTCAAAAAGAAGCTTTAACTTGATAGACGAGAACCTCTTACAGTTTATTAGTATAAGTATTTTATGTGCTTCTTGATTGAGATATGGAATTAAAAAACTTAATCAATCTGTTTGTATTTTATACAGTATTGAAGAAGGACCAGTCAATATGCAGTATGCATTAATAGTTGATGGCAGCACATTAATTTTTATATTTGAACAATACTGTGATATGTTTCTAAAACTATGTAAGAAATGTGTAGCTGTCTTATGCTGTAGAATGTCTCCTATACAAAAGGCTGAGGTAAGAATTTTTTGGCTAGGTAATAGTTCATAGTAATTGCTAGCTGACTGCACATGCTTGATTTTGACTTCCACAAGACTTGCTCAACCTTTTATGTTCTCACTGTGATAAATATACAAATAAGCAATATTCGAAATGTGGACTCATACCTTTATGCTATTGGGTTGAAAACTGTTCAAAGAAGTTTGGGCTACAAGTTTTCCTTAAACGCATAGATTTCCTCAAACGCATAGACGTAAATGATTTTTGAGTGAATATTTTTGTTATTGTCAGATTGTACGATTGATTAAAACTAGTAAAGATAAACCAGTAACATTAGCTGTTGGAGATGGTGCTAATGATGTTAGTATGATACAAGAAGCAGATATTGGAATAGGTACGATATTAACAAAGATATTACTGCCTACATCATAATGATACATTTACAAGAACTGGACAATTGTAACATAATGAAGAATGGTGACTTAGGTGACAACTTTGAGCAAATCGAAATTTATCGCTCACCACCCGAAAATAATGCTTTTGGGAAACTGCTCAAACTCCTGTTTTTGTACAATTTACTGGTCATCTGACTTCCTTGTGCACTCTACACTAAATCAACACCCTCCTGTGTGCCTCGCCTATGCCATTAGGCATAGATATAGCACAACAGAGACGTGAAAATGCTTAGTCATCTTATCATATTGCCTGTTGGAGACCAATAGGAAGCAGAAGCCTCTTTACTTTGATATAGTTCAATGGATGAAGGAGTACGTTGATTAAGAGGCTAAATAATTTCATTGATGCCAAAAGACATATTGGTAAGAATGTGATTAATTTGATATTGAAGGTATAATGGGAAAAGAAGGAAGACAAGCTGTTAGATGTAGTGATTATGCTTTTGTTAAATTTAAATTTTTAATGAGAGCTCTGTTATTACATGGTCATTATTATTACATCCGCATAGCAACTTTAGTCCAGTATTTTTTTTATAAGGTAAATGTCTCATGTATTTAAGAATGCCTCTTTGATAGAGATCTAGTCGATACCTTTGAATGCATGACTAGAAACTCTAGGTCCTTTTAAACTCATCCTGTTTCACTTATACTGGTAATTCTTATGATCTTATAATGATGACAATGTAAGTTGTTGAAACGTTGTGTACATTTTTTAATTTGATCTCTACCCCTAATGTTGTATAATGATTATTTGTACACTATGTGTGTGCTTTTTAAATTCCGAAGTCTTCAATCTAATTGATTTTGAATTAATGACTCAAATATATGTTTGTTATGTTTTTTAATTACAGAATGTAGCCTTTATAACAAGCCAAATTTATTTTGGTGTCTATTCCCAAATATCTGCGCAGGTTAGTAACTTCTTAGAAGATCGTTGAATTGTATACCTTGATTATATCACAGTTGTCAATATTTCTGTAGAAGAGATGTTAGTCTAAATGGCATGGTATGTTTTAGTTGAATTGACATGAGATTTTAATTTTGAAATTACGCTCTGTAAACTGTATGTAAGTAGTCAACATCAAAGCACTATTATTGTTTTTACTGTGCACATTATATTTTTTACCAGCATTTGTAATTGATTATTAACTATTATTTTCTATTTATTTCAGCCATTATTTGATAGTTATTATTTATTGTTTTATAATATATGTTTTACCTCCCTACCTATTTTATTCTATGGAATATTTGAACAACATATACCACAAGATACTTTATTAGAAAAACCACATTTATATCAGTAAGTCACTATACTTATAAAAAATACTTTAAACTGACTACATTTTTTCATTTTTTTTAATGTAACAAACACATGGTTATTTATTCAATATTATATAAAAATTGAATAAACAAACAAGTTAAAAATTTGTAAAAATGTGTGACTGTGTGTTTTATTTTTTTATTTTTTTTTTTTTCAGACGAATCACCAAGAATGAATACTTGTCCTGGAAGAATTTTCTGAAATGGAATCTGTTGGGTATGTCAAATATTTATATTTATTCAGTAATTATAGTTGATTATCTGATTATATTGAGTTTTTTCTTAATATATACTAATTTGTTTATTTATTTCAGGTGTATGGCACAGTCTGGTGTTTTATTTTGGTGTTTTTTATGTCTTTCAATATGAATCCTCTACATTCCACTCAGGAAAAGTAGGTTTTTGTGTATTTTTTTAGCTCTTTATATGAAAAATTCATTTGAATAAATAGTCAAAGTGTGCATTTGTTCATCAAATAATGATTTTGATCGCCATTATGTGGGAAATTTATTGAAAAAATGTAATTCTTGAAGGCCCACTCAAAATAGATTAGCTGCTTAAAACATACAGAGACCAAAGAATTTGTTGAGCATCTCCATAGTTAGAATTTATTGCTTTAAGAATAATAAAAAATTTAGTGATTACTGTCCAAAATAATATTGAACTCATTATGGGGCATGTTTTTTTATTGGTTTGTGTTGGCCTATTGATTTAACACATAGCAATGATTTTTTTAAATGGTTAATATTTAAGATGCTATATTAATATAATATATTTTCAGATGCTAGGACTAGCTTGTTTTGGTTCTATTGTATTTACTGTTTGTACTATAGCAGTTAATGTCAAGGTAAATTCCTAACAAGACAAATTTGTATATCAATATTTATATTTTAATATTTTGACTAGTTGCAATTCTAATAATATGACCAAAAGTTACTAGAACTGTTGAAGTCTATAGAGTAACACTTGGAAATTTACATGAATTATTATTGCTAAGATAACGAAATTGGAAAACAAAATGTGTTCCATGACCTAACCATTTGATAGTAAGTTGAAGATATGATGTCTTATGTTTCAGCTTTGTTTAGAGACATATTATTTTTGTTTTGCAACATATTTTGGTTATATATTTGCTGGTATAGGCTGTTTAGCTTTGACTTTCTTATACAGTGGAGTCATTTGGCCGTAAGTTGAATTATTTTATATATAGCAGTATAAATCAGTATTTACATGTTTAGTTTACATAGTTGTCATTGATTGAGATGCTTGTACAGTATATTTTCAATGCTGACATTTTATGTTAATTATAAACATAAACAAGTATGTTTAGTATGAAATCAGAAGACCTACTGTATTTATTACAGAAGCTGGATGTTAAGTAGTCAATCTATGTATTTTGTGATATTTGAAATGTTAAAAAGTGGACCAGTATGGTTAATGATGTTACTGTTAGTGATAACAGCTCTGTTACCTGATATCATAATACGCTGTGTTAGAGATATACGCAATCATCTTAGTCAAACTAAAGTAAGTATTACTTAGACTTATCATGCATGATTACATTTTACATGTATTCATATAGCTTATCTTGAATTCCAATGTAACTTGCCAAATACAATAGGCATGATCAAATTATCCAGTCTTAATAAGTAAATATAGAATGTTAAATGATATTATTTTTAAAAGATATTGAAGCTATTGCTTTTATATGCTTTTTATTTTGTTTAACATATGAATTTATTTGAAATAACAATAGAAATTGAGTAGATTTTGTTCTTATGATTAGTAAATCATTTTTTTAAGGATCTAAGTTTTCAATTTTTTATGGTATTACTAACATGATATTTTTCTATACAAACATAAACCTGATATTTCATTAGTTTTCAATATCTAGAAAATATTCTGAGCAATATAATTAACAGGAAATATCAAGCTTAATTCCACACAATTCTTAATGAAATCTGACTTGTCAATAACAGCAGTTTATAGTAGAAAACATATATTTCTTCAGAATTTTATCAGCAAATAGTATATCAAAATAAATAGCTATTTTGATGAGATAGGGGTCATTATTCATTATATATTGCATGTTAACAAGACATGTTTAAGACAATAACTCATTGAACAAGATTGAGAATGATGTTATTATTATATTCCAATGTACTAAGTTAAAACTAGTGAGCAAAATGACAGGGAATCAACCACTCAACAATTTTTGATACAGACTTTTGCTTGGTATTTCTTCTGTCAATGTTATATGATGGTGATTAGATCTTTATTATTAACTTAAAACAAAAAATAGATTTTTACTTCTTTTCTTCCAAAAATGAACTTAACAATATTGTGTGGTACTTCAATACTCTGTATAATATATATCTATTAAGCTACTTACTTTGTTTAGATGGGACCACACTGTTGCTTCAGTAATAATAGAGTTTCTATATTGGATAGTATAGAATAAGTAAGTGCTTCTTGTCTTCCAATTGGTGTCAGATTTATCTTCTTTTCCTTCTAGCTTATACTGGTATACACTATCATATTTTTGTCATATGTTAAATTTCACATGTATATACGTCTATACCTGCAATAGCCATCTGTTTTTGTAGCTCAGAATGTAGCGATTTGATTGGATTATACTCCAGCGAATACATCCAATCATAGCCCTTTTGCAGACCGACTAAACATGGTTTATTGTTTACAGACATCTTGTAGAGGACTCTTGATTGGCTGTATTTGCTAACATAGAATCTGACCAAGTCCTTGCATTTACAAACTTCTGTGACAATTGCAAGCAAGGAATTAGATACAGTTCTTTATTATTTGATATTGTAAAGATGCAAATATCTTTTAAACAGATTCAAAAGAGGTTCTTTTGCCTTTGTATGTACATTTTGATGTCATTACTTCCTGTAACTCTTGAAAAACTGTCAGAGAAATGTTAGAAAAAAGATTTGGTTTGAATGATATATGATTAATAAAACATCATATACCATGTTAGGTGATAAAACTATGATAGTGTATGATGTAATGCATATATAGTATGCCTAGCATGACCATATATAGATTATGATATATCAGATTATAACTCCTAGTATGTAATCTACATCTAAATAGTCTTTATATTTATCTAGAGATTTCTTCAGACAGAACAGAAACAAAATAAATAAAAAGCTTTTTCAAAAACTAACAAAAGAATCAAAATTTAGAAATAGTGTTTTGATTGGTAGCTAAGAACAAAATTTAAAACTATTTCATTTCCCTATCATGAAGGCTCTGTTGAAATTATAATTGTATGTAAATGTTGTACTGTATAGTTATAAGGCTTGTAGTACCGGTACTATAATATACCATGCTATTTCTTCCTAATTCCTGACACCAATAACTGTTTAAAATCCTTGGCTACCAATGTCAGGAACATTGTTTTCAGGATATATTCTGTTGTGGAATTATACATGTTGTGATAACAAATCTGCATCGTGAAAGGAGTATTTTCTTTTCAGAATGTTTTTTAATGTTTTTACAAGATTTTTTTTTATAAGGCATAAGTTTAGATAGAATAAGTCATTTATTGGACAGAATTTTGTATCGTTTGATTTTGCACCAAATCTGTCCAATATGACTATTAATGTCAATTAATTTAATCAGGTATTTTGTGTCAAAAATGAAACCAAAGTAATGAGTTCTTTAAATTTTGATGGAATTGGGAAAAGATATTCATTGGGTCATTTTTTATTCCAATTGACCATATTCTATCCAATAATTTGCAATCAAATCAAAACAAGATTTCTGTCACTAAGAAAAAACATCTTATCAATTCTGAAGAACCAATCATTACTGTCTGTTATTTTGATGATCTATTCTTGAAACTTTATGGAGCCAACTTGAGAAAATGTTCCATTTTTGACTGAGAGGCCCTGATTCTTAAATAGCCAATTTTCATTCTTAGAATTATTTGCTGTAATTTCAAGCTTCTCCTACATCCTTTCCATAGTGAAAATTCAAATGAAAACATCTCACGGAAAGAAAAGAAATAAAAACAACTTAACAATATCTGAACATCTATATTTTTCTAGGTATATTGTAAACATTTAAGTTTTTATTACTTCTGTAAATATTTTCTAGGTACATCATCATGTTAGCATGAAAGACACATTATCCATTGCTTTTTCTAAACGATCAGGCAAATTGACAATATCTCAACATAATCTCATAGGTAACAATATCAACAACTTGACAGGATTACTAACAATTATTAGTTTTAGGCTGATATTAACAAATATTAAATCTTGATGTGATGTGTTGCCTTCTGACTAAAGTGTTCAATTCTGTCTTTATTTGGTACATCAAAGTCATATTTTTTCAATGGTGGCTCTATCATCAAATTGCTATTGCTGCTAATTTTCAAAGTATATTTGGTACAATATCATATGAATCTTTACAACTGACTATCCCAAGCAAGATTGGCCGATCTAGTCAACATCAACAACCTCATTCTGAACTAAGTTATTCCATGCTCAACATAGCTTGATTTAAATAAAGCATCGAAAGGGCATACAAAGATATGGCTTTTGTACTAAATAAGTAAGAATTGATTATTATTTCAATATAAAATTTGTACTGAGCTATTTTATTTCCAGTCTGCTTATAGATTTTTGTTAACAGTAGATAAAACCGTTTTTTGTAGAAAAGATATAGATATTTCGAAATTTATATTGAACTGTTGAAAGTTAAGCTAGTTGTGCAAAGTCTGCATATAAAAAAGAATTTTAAACTTTCCTCTGAAAAATATCCTTTCTTTTCACAATTTTCTCAGCTATTGAAAATTCTTTTTTTCTCTGGCCTTTGGTGTTGGCTTCTCAGCCTTCTCATTCTCTCCTCACTCTGTAGCTTAGTGAATTTGCTGTGTGTGTGTTTTATTTCTTTGGACTAAATGTACAGTCTAATTGCTATTTTGTAATTATCAATAGTGAGTCATTCTTACAGCCACTAAAACAAAAACAGATTTTGATATTCATGATGTTAACTCAGCTGTCAAAGTGATAGCAGAATATATTTCTTAAATGATACATTAATTTTTGATTTATTCATCAGTAATTCTTTTTCAAATATTAATGTGAGAATTGGTTTTGGTAATATTATACTTATTATTAGTAATACTAAATAGATTGAAAGGTATAGTTACATGTGCTTTTGATAAATAGTTTTATTCTGATTTTATTATTTTGTAGAAGAGAAGTGATACCGGTGAATCTGTGTTATTAAAACCATATCAGACCAATGGTAAACTTAGTTTTGATTTATCTATATAGTGATGAATAGCAGACATTATTCCTTTCTTACATAATGATGATACATCATGCCTGTTTTACATAATGATGAGTAACATACATAATGCCCTCTTTACCTGATGAGAAACAGACATTCAGCATGCTATACATAGTTATGTTTTATATAATGATAAGAAACAGACATTATGCCAGTTTTGAATAAAGATGAGAAACGGATGATATGCCTGTTTTACATAATGATGAGTTTCATACAATATGCCTATTTCATTGTGTCTGTTTTACATGATGATAAGTAACAGGTTTTATGCCTGTTGACATAAAATGATTAGTACTAAATATTATGTCTGTTTTACATAATGATGTGTAACAAACATTATGCCTGTTTTACATAAAATGATTAATATTAAATATTATGCCTGTTTTACATAGTGATGACATTGTCATACATCCTGTTAAACAAAGCAAATCAACATTGTTCATCTACATTATCATCAATTAGATTAAAATACAATATATATATTTTATGTAGTTGTATTATATTATGATTGGTCCATTCATTACACATAGTGCAAATTAGCTTTGTGTGTGAATCATTATTTTGTTTGTTATATATATTTTTTTTATATTATTATTTTGTTGAAGTTAAGGGAATATATTTTGTGGCTATCGTTGTTATTGACTGATTTAAAGTGCTAGTTTGTGAATTAGGCAAGCAAATTTATATATGATATCATATTATCTGACTTGTGCTTTTACATTATTCATCATTATCATTTCCATTACTAGAACAATATGTAAATCTAGCAAAGTCATTTAAATCCAGTTTTGAATAGTTCATATTGTACAAAATTGTCATATTGGAGCATCTCATTGCAAAGTCTCTTAATTTACAATAACTTTACTATGATGCAGTTTTTTTTAACAATGAGATGATGCAGTGCAAAGGAATGAGTTGATAGAAACTTGTTCTTAGGTTCCTAAATGCCTAGAAACAAGATACATTTTTCTGTAGGTTTTATTCTTCCAGTTCTTTAAATTATATGAAAATTTATGCATACTTTTGATACTACCAATATACATGTTATATGTTTATAAAAACGTGTTGATGTTGTACAGAACAGTCATTTGCTTTACCAGCTGATAAGAGCACAATTTCATCTATCTTAATGAAGATTCAGAATTTAAAATCTGATGTTCGGGTAAAATTATAGTGAACATGAAGCTTCTAATATAAGCTGATCTCTTTCAGTTGGTATAAAAGCAAAGAAAGAGACAGTTTTTATCTCTTTTAATTAAGTTTTTCTTGCAATATGCATTAGAAATCCATTATTATTTTTTATTTCTAAATCAATATCTTCTAATACAAGGTTAACTAAGCTATATGTATGTCTTCCATAAGAATTTGATATACTTTTTGCAAGGATATGCAATGGTATCTAATAGAATGTGGAAACTGTTATTTGTATGTATATACAAGGGTTTACTATTACAAAGTTTGCATGTTAAGATTCTGGTATTTAATTTTGTATTTAATCAGAGTTCTATACAGCAACTGTATCAACACATCTTCCCACTACTTTACTACTTTGTAAAATTATTAATGTTATTTTCTTTTATCTGATGGCACGAGAAAAAAAGGATGGCTTTGTTTTGATCTGTTGAGTTATTTTTTTTGTTTTTTTTTATATAACCATATATGAAGGTTTATAGTTCTTTCTTCTTAACACTTATTAGTAAAAACATGGAAATGTTTAGTTGGCCTTATAACAATTTAGTTACTTCTTCATTGGTTCAACTTTCATTTTTCTGATCAAAGCGATGCTGATTTATTGCCCTTGATTCGGCTTACATTCAAGTTCACAAAATACACAAAGTCTAGATGTTATCATAGTTTGTAAAACTAAATTTTGTGATTGACCTATCAGATGAAATGAATGCTAAAATCAGTAACTTTTTCAGAACTGCCTTAATTATTTTCTACTTAGTGGATGTTTAAGAATTGTGTCTGAGAATGGCAAAGGTGTTTCAAATATATATATTTTTCACTTGAAAGAAGACATGATTTTCTTACATAAATAAAAGCTAAGCACTAATTAAAGTGAGTAAGATTTAAGAGTTATTGTGATTGTTATTTTGTGTTCTTTTGATTGTGATAAAAGTATAATCATTGAAGCCATTTTGAATTTTAGAATGTTTATTTTTCTGTTTATTATATAAAATTATATATTTTGCTATGAGTTTTTTTAAAGAGAGAATTATAATATTCTGTGTGAATCAGAAATCATAACTACAGTCAGTAGCGTACTTATGTCCCACATCCCCTCCTTCAGGCGTTTTCTAAATACGCGCCAGACTACAGTAGTTAGCACATCAGAAGAACAATAATACATGTTTGCCTTCATCAACGAAAACCTAGTTTCAGTAAATCATCACCGCAAGACAATAGTCTCAATTTTTGGGCTGCTATCATAAGTATCCAAAGCAGATATCAATTGTTTTTATAACGTCATCAAATTCGTTATAGGCTTTGTCCAGTATGGGTAGCTGAAACATAGTCCTCTCTCTTAATAATGCATAAATTTTACGGCTATATTCCTTGCATCGTATCTTGAATACTGGTCTTATTATCTAGTATGTATGATGAATGCGGGTGTGGTTTGGACACGATGTATCCTTCGTTTCTTAACCTTTTGTTTGAATCCTTTTAATAATCATTTTACACTTTCCCTTGCTAGTCGACATATTCTTGGAGGTTATTGTACTCGAGGAACCAGTACTTTTGAATAATGTATGCTTTAAAAAATACACTACACCTTCATGACATTAAGGTATTTTTTGTGTGTAAATAGTATAATATTCTGTACAAGAGATTTTTTTAGTAATATGAGATCAGAGCAAACAACGGACTAATTTTATTGATGCTATTAATTAAACAGTTTCCGCAATTAGAAACATTAACATCAAGTAGAATATAATACAAGATACAAGCGTCTATAATTGCTAAATGTTATGAAAATAACTTCTTTAATCAAATCATTAAATGAAAATCGATGATATAAGTATCGATGACAACACACGTGTCTTGAAAATTAAATCACTTAGAGTAGATCTTCGCTTAGTTCCAGTCTGAATGGAAAAAAAGGAGTTCCAACAGATATGATACAATAGTGTTAATGGTGTGTTTATTCTTCCAGTCGAACGTTTTTTTTTTCATATTGAGGCGTTGAAATAACCGGCAAGCATAGTTCATAACATTCGGCGAAAATAATTAACAAAAGAAGACCAGGTCAAAATAAGATGTATGATAGTATCATCAAACTATTAAGTTACAGTGAACAATTCAAATATCAGAATAGTGGACCCGTTTTTTTCACATCGTATGCTAAAAGACCAAATTAAGACAGGACATAGAACTGTATTGTAATCTGATGGTGTATCCACAAGCAAATTGAATGTTGAAACTATTAAAAGACTGGCAGTAATACCTCAATTATGTTTAACCTTGGAGTTAGAGAGCTCTTTGTAATTGAAACGTTCATTTTACTTATTTTACCGCCAGATGAATATGCGGCAATGACATACTCTGCTTCAATGGAGGATAAATATTCAGAAATATTGGGAAAAACTTTACTGTATATTTTAAAAGCTGTTGAAGTCGATGATATTTCCATCTTCTACGAGAAAAATAGCGAGGACTTACTACAGTTGGTTCTTAAAGATTTGGAACATACAACCAAGTTAACGCTTTTTAGTGCCCTACTAATTAAGTCGTCGCATGCCGTAGAAAGTACTCTGCCCAGTTCACCACAAGGACCAAGTCAATCAATGATGGTCGATGAGCACGTTCTCAGTGTTCCATGTTCTCCCAACACATCTGATCTCAACATCTCAGCACCGGATACTGATATTAATCGCAATAGCAATGTTACTGAGTGTGTTTGGAATGATTCGATTCACAACAGACAAAAACCAACTATTGCTGTCCTTTTATACAACATTGATTTCATCCAAGATGTATTGAATAATATCAAATGTTTAATAGAAACACGAGATATAATATTCCCTGTTCAATCGCGATGGGTGTTTGTGTCTAACATCAAAACACTCCCTTTACAAATTCTACAAGATAAAACTGTCAATAAATTAACTAATGTTGTATTCTTAGGTACTGCTCTGAACTCTGAAAAGAAACTACTTCCGGTAGTACTCTCAAAACAAGGCTCTCGTTTTACAATAGTATCGACTAATTCAATGTCTGTACTTACTATATTTCCCAATTTACAATACAAACTGAACGGACTACGTTTAAGAGTTGTTGTTTCATCTACTCGGTTTATATATCAAGAAGGAAATTCGGCAAGGAAACTTTTGGAAGCAATAAGTAGCTATCTGAATTTCACATACATCTATGTTCTTGCAGAAGATGGTACATTTGGACTTAAAGTAAATGATACATGGACGGGTGTGGTAGGTCATGTAGCTCGTAAAGAAGTAGATATGTCTTGTCAACCATTACTTGTTACAACAGAGCGACTAGAAGTTGTAGATTTTGTGATGCCAGCAATAGCTACTATAGATACAGGTTTGATTTACAAATATAACTCGATCAACTATGTAACTTCTCCGTGGATGATATTTTGGATACCTTTATCTGACCAAATCTACTTGTTCGTGTTTATTTCCTATGTTATTATAGCTAGTGCTATCTGCTATTTAAATTTTGCGGAACAAAATTCTCATGAAAAGGGACATCAACTTATAATGAACACGTTTTTGTTAACCTTTGGTTGTTTGTTTCAAAAAAGTACCATTTTTTCTTACCAAAGATCTTCGGTAAGAATAATCTTTGCATCTTGGTGGATATTTTGTGTAATTTTGGGAGCTACCTATACTACCGGACTTACACGAGCTTTGATTCCTAAAAATGCCAAGGTTTTTACATCTGTAGCCGGTCTATTAGAGCTTTCAGAATGGAAATACGGTGCGCTCGGTAACTCAGCCCATATTGAGCTGCTCAAGACTTCAGAGGATGTCAATTTGAAGATGTTGTGGGAAGCTATAAAAGAAGTCAATAAATCTGATCCAAGTGTTTTGTCTGATACATACGATAGTCATATTGCCAAATTAAATGCAGGAAATTATGCGTTCCTTGCAGGACTAAGTAAAGGCAGGATGCGTGTCTTAGGGCAAGAAGATAACTGTTCTGTGAACATATTCAAACTCGACAATGCTGCTTATGAATCACTTGCTATTCCTAAAGGATCCCTGTTGAAATACGAACTTGAAAAGGCTGTTATAGCCTTAAATGAAGCGGGGCTTCTTCCGCTTCTTATTGACGCAGCATCGACGATAAAAGAATGCCCACAAGTCCCCGGTGAAGTACAACCTTTGCAGTTTGATAATATGAAAGGTTCATTTGTAGTGATAGGTATTGGGCTAACAGTTTCTAGTTTAGTGTTGATTATAGAGAAATTAGTTAAGAGATAGATACGACGTTTTTTTTTCCGTTTTTTTTTCAATTTTTTATTTGTCAGATGATATATACCATTCAACAAAAATTCTTGTACCAATTAGCCATTAATGTTGTACAGTAAATAATACTATATGTAAAGGTATCAAAATAGTGAGCCAATTGCACGTCCTGTCTATAGGTTGATCCAATCAAATGAAATTAGATTACAATTTCTTATCTTTTTTGTTTTTTGATATTTTAGTCTGTAGCCTACATGAATATGGAAGGGTTTTTGGGTCAAAATAAAATGCTCTGTTAAATTGTCTAATACTTATTGTGATACCGTCAACTTTGTCATATTATTGCTTTAGTAAATTGTGATAAAACAAAATTTGTTTTGTCTCATTAATTACACGTTTACATATAATTTTGGTATTATCATTTTAAAGATATCATTTTCTACATATCATTTTGGTATTATCATGGCGCATGTTGATAATTATTTCAATTATATTTCTCGCAATCTATGTATATAGGTGATTTTATGAAACGGGTCGTAATGCAGAATTCTACCTTGAAAACGTGAAATATATATACACATTGACCCTCATATGTCTCATATCTATCTTTACAATGTCCAGCTTTTCTTCATAATATACTTTTTATACCTTGACTGCAATAGTCACCTTTCATGTATCATGGAAGTTGGTAAATGAAACAATTGGTAGTATATGCTAGCGTACAATCAAATCAGGAGCTTTGACACAACACAAAGCCATATATAATGTTTACAGAATTTCTGCAGAGGGCTCTGATTTGCTTATTTACTGGCCAACAAACCAATCAAATCGCTGCATTCCGTGATACAAGAATAGTGGCTATTGCAGTCAAGGTATAAGTTTGTTTGGCTATAGCTTGACATTGTGAAGATGTTAACTACCGTCAACAAAGCAAAGCAGGACCAACCTCTTTTCCGGCTGTAGAAACGCCACTCTCTTGTATTTATAACGTTTAGGATACTGCTGTTGTTATATTATCCTTTGTTCTATTGCCATCGCCTTGTTATTCTAACATGATTTCTTGCTGATAAGAGAAATCTGAAAATATACCCACAAACTAAACTAAATCTCAACCTCCACCCGCTTCTTGGTTACAACTTTATAATTCAGTGAAATGCGTTATTTTTAGACCTAGCTACGCTATATAACTTTATCGGCTAATTGTGTTACGGGTGTTGTAAATGGCACTGAAAGTTTTAAAACTGCATTGATGAACAGATTTGTACTTATACTTGAGGCCTATAATATAGATCAGATGTAAGCTGTAGCTAGGGCCTAACTCCCGAAATATTTCAAAATCAATCCAAATTTTCGAACTGTTAACAAAATTGTACATGAAATCTATATTTTGATCGACTCCCATCATCAGAACTACGTGTATTTTGAAACCAATATTTTATGCCACACTTGATATAGCGTGTGATGAAATGTGTGTAGGGTAATTACAGGTTCGAGGGCCAGTCGGCAAACCATTCACACAACAGATTGACGTTACCTAGTCGCTTACAGCATTCAAAATTTACAAACAACAGTGATAATGTAAATCTCATTCCATTGTTTGAATTTTTTTTAAATCATTTTTAACAATAAAAGGGTCCGCTTAATTAATCAGACAGCAAAACACATTTTGATAGGATTGATACGTAGATCCAATTTATTGACTTTGATATAACCGGCGAAATATTAAACCGGAAGTTGATTGAAGTAATGAAAATAAAAGAAACATTTGGCAACTTTTAAGAAGATGGCAAAATACGATGATTTAAAGTTTCCTTATTGCCAACCAGAGACAAAATATGAAAAGGTTCTCAAAATTGGACAAGGAACGTTTGGGTAAGGTAAATTAAACATGTGAGAGGCTCTAGGCCTACCTACTTCTTACTCATTGTTAGGCTACTGCCACTGGAACAATGAATGTGGATGTGTTTATTACTTAGCCTATAGAATCGCAATTTTTCAATGTCAATCATAGTATTGAAGTATCAACTCCCTTAAACAAGATTTTGATATATTTTCATTATCAGTATGTTTTGTCTGTGTTCCATGAAATATGAGACATCAAGGATTGGCATAAACTAGCAATTTCTCCATTTACATTATAAGGGAGGTGTTCAAGGCAAAGGATAAACAAAATCGAAATAAACTGGTGGCAATGAAAAAGGTATTGATGGAGAATGAAAAAGAAGGGGTGAGTAACATCATTGGTAGGCTGTAGTATTCAGTCATTTCCTTATCAGATTGCTACAATTCTTCAGTGTTCATATTGTACTGATAATGCAATCCTAGCTGTTTGTCATAGAAGCTATAACATGTAAAGTTCATCATTATTGTCACAATCAGATCAGTTAAGGTATCTCACTTCAAACTCATTGACATAATTCAAATTAAAACATCCTTTGTTTTTTTCAGTTTCCCATTACAGCTTTAAGAGAAATTAAAATCTTACAGTTATTAAAACATGATAATGTTGTAGATTTAATAGAAATATGTAGAACTACAGGTTGGTTTTATTACAAGCTTATACCGGTACCACATGTTAGTTTTGAAGCACAATTGAATTGAGAATTGAATTCTGCTTGCACCACAAAAGTCTTGATTAATTTTTTTTATCTAACATGAACAAGTACCTAACATAAGCATATCATTGCATTCAGATGTATTGCACTAGTGGTTCTGATCAGTGCTTAGCTGTGGGATCCTTTGAATTTTACAGCAGATTCCACATTTAAACTACCAACTGGAGTTATCATACACCATAGAAGTGCTAATTTATTCAAAGCGTAAATTTTTTTTAATGTTTTTATTTCAGCCTCTCCTTACAACAGATATAAAAGTACTTTTTACTTAGTGTTTGAATTCTGTGAACATGATTTAGCTGGACTACTAAGTAATGCTAATGTTAAATTCAAACTTGCAGAAATTAAGAAAGTCATGTCACAGTTATTAAATGGATTGTTTTTTATTCATAGTAATAAAATTCTTCATCGTGATATGAAAGCTGCAAATATTTTAATCACAAAACATGGTGTTTTAAAATTGGCAGATTTTGGACTTGCTAGAGCATTTAGCCACCCGAAACATGGACAGGCAAATAGGTATACTAATAGAGTTGTCACCCTTTGGTACAGACCTCCCGAACTTTTATTAGGTGAAAGGAATTACGGGCCAGCAATAGATATGTGGGGTGCAGGGTGTATCATGGCAGAAATGTGAACACGTAGTCCAATAATGCAAGGCAATACAGAACAGCATCAGTTACAACTTATTAGTCAGTTGTGTGGCTCAATCAAACCTGATGTGTGGCCAGGTGTAGAGAAATTAGATCTGTATGAAAAACTTGAACTACCTAAAGGACAAAAACGTAAAGTGAAGGAGCGTTTAGAAGCGTATGTCAAAGATAAACCTGCTTTAGAATTATTAGACAAGTTATTGACTTTAAATCCAGCCAAACGGTTGGACAGTGACACTGCCTTAAATCATGATTTTTTCTGGGTAGCCCCAGAACCAGAGGATCTAACTCAGATGCTTTCAAGACATACCACTTCAATGTTTGAGTATCTTGCACCACCTAGACGTAGAGGTCAACAACCACCACCCAAACCTGCACCTAATAATGACCACCATTTTGAAAGAATATTTTGATTATCTTTTAAAGAATTTTTAGTTGTTTTAAACAGTTCATAAAGTCATACATTTATTATCATTTACCATATTTTAACTTTATGATATTAAGTATTTCACCTCTTTTAAACAATTCGAAAATCATTTAACATATATATTTTATTTTTTCAATTATTTCATTTTTTATACCACGATAGCATTAACACTAAATTAAAAAAAATCATTATATACAGTAAAAAAAATTATAGTTGAGTCAGATTTTTTATATGAAATAATGTTATATCTATGGTATGGAATAAGATTTGAACTTTTTAAGTTAATTTTCTTTGTACAAAATTCAAGAGCATTGAATATTAACATTTCTTTGATGGATTTGACGATCATAATGTATAATAACTAGTATATTGTCCTTGACAAGATTTTCTGTATATTATTATAAAGTCTTTATGTCTGTGTAATATGTATGTAATGTTAATGATAATATATTACTGGATTTTTTGATAATTGTTAATGAAAATTTGCTGTTTATTTAAAATAAAAGCAAAAAAAACAAAACGGATTTACACTCAAGATATTACATATTTCTGTCTATAAATGCAATGCACTTGTTTTTCGTAGTCACTTTTTGAGTAACTTTTCTGGTGTGTCTGTAATGTAAGAATAATGTGAAGGTAAAAGTGTTGGCAGTCCAAATATTCTCATAGTTTATAATATTCGTAGTGCATTTACTGCAATTTCCTGGAGAAGGTTTTTTAAAAACAACCCCAACATTGTCTTTGGTGCTTCCTTTGACATATTAAATCAAATAAGCTTATACATCTCATTAATTTTTTCTCTGATGAAGGATAACTATATAATATATTTTTGTCAAATTTTAATTGATAAAAGTAGATCATCAAACAAACATATGTTATTTTAGTCTATTTACATTCTGTCACTGGATGTTACTATAACATTTTATATATTATAACCTGATGTTTCTAACTTTATGTTTATATATTGTTAGTCCAATACAAAAGTAAACAAACAAATTCTTTTTCTTTGTGGTTGTATTGATTTCAAAGGATTCAAAGGGGCCTGTTACTTTTACACTTATTGGAATAGGGGACTTTCAAATCTTATGCCCTTATGGATAAGGCTATGTAGGCCCCATTTCTGTATTTTAAATGTAACATCTGTGGTTTGAAATTATCATCCTCCAGTAATTTTATTTTGATAAAACACAGTTAACTAGTGATTAACATCATTTGTTGGAGCCTATGGATAAATATTCGCACTACTACTTTCGTCTTCCTAGTTGGCCACATTGCCGAGTTAGGGCTTCGTCCCTAATTTTTTGGCCAATTTTTGTGGCCAATGGCCAATTTTTATGGCCGGCCAGTGGCTGTGTACAAAGGAAAGAATTTAATTATGAATTACAATATTATGACAAAAAACGATATTTTCTATACAATAGAATCTCTCATAGGCTCATAGTACATTCTTCAGATAAAGATGGTGCAATCAGGAAGGTTAATATAAAAAAAAATTCAATATAATGGAATTTTCATGGTTAACTGTTTAAAATATTTTAAAATATGGCCAATTCTTTCAGATAGAAATATGAATGGAATTTTTGGTGCCAGTGAGGAGCTGAGACGCCAATCTAACATATTTAGGTGTACAATGGGGAGAAATGCTCTTTATTCCTATAATTTCTCAATATGGCCAGTGATGGATATCCAATATGGAGGACTGGCCAGTCAAAGACGAAGCTCCTACATGGCCAATTTTTGCACAGTCCACAGTAATGGGGGTGGGGCAGATTTTTGAATGGAATTGGCACAAACTCAATCACATAGTGCCTTCAGACCTGTGAATATCTCCAAAATTCCAACATAAAGGTATTTTCATGCCTAAATCTGTCACTGGCCAGGCAATGACCAACCCCCTACATGGCCAATTTTTGATATATGGCCACTTTTTTCCTATGGTCTGCTATGGAATTATGAATGACATTTTTGGTGCCAGTGAGGTCCTGAGATGCCAATCTAACATATTTAGGTGTACAATGGGGAGAAATGCTCTTTATTCCTATAATTTCTCAAATATGGCCAGTGACGATTGTCCAATATGGCGGACTGGCCAGTCAAAGACGAAGCCCCTACATGGCCAATTTTTGCACAGTCCACAGTAATGGGGGTGGGGCAGGCTTTTGGATGGAATTGGCACAAACTCAATCACATGGTGCCTTCAGACCCGTGAATATCTCCATAATTCCAACATAATGGTATTTTCATGCCTAACTGTGTTACTGGCCAGTCAGTGACGAAGCCCCTACATGGCCAATTTTTGAAATATGGTCCATTTTTTCCTATGGTCTGCTATGGAATTATGAATGATATTTTTGGTGCCAGTGAGGTCCTGAGATGCCAATCTAACATATTAAAGTGTACAATGGGGAGAAATGCTCTTTATTCCTATAATTTCTCAAATATGGCCAGTGACGATTGTCCAATATGGCGGACTGGCCAGTCAAAGATGAAGCCCCTACATGGCCAATTTTTGCACAAACCACAGTAATGGGGGTGAGGCAGATTTTTGGATGGAATTGGCACAAACTCAATCACATAGTGCCTTCAGACATGTGAATATCTCTAAAATTCCAATATAATGATATTTTCATGCCTAACTGTGTTACTGGCCAGTCAGTGACGAAGCCTCTACATGGCCAATTTTTGATGAATGGCCAATTTTTTCCGATGGTCTGCTATAGAATTATGAATGACAATTTTGGTGCCAGTGAGGTCATGAGATGCCAATCTAACATATTGAGGTGTACAATGGGGAGAAATGCTCTTTATTCCTATAATTTTTCAATATGGCCAGTGACAAATATCCAATATGGCAGACTGGCCAGTCAAAGACGAAGCTCCTGCATGGCCAATTTTTGCACAGTCCACAGTAATGGGGGTGGAGCAGATATTTGGATGGAATTGGCACAAACTCAATCACATGGTGCCTTCCGACCTGTGAATATCGCTAAAATTCCAATATAATGATATTTTCATGCCTAACTGTGTTACTGGCCAGTCAGTGACGAAGCCTATACATGGCCAATTTTAGATAAATGGCAAAATTTTCTGATGGTCTACTATGGAATTATGAATGATATTTTTGGTGCCAGTGAGGTCCTGAAATGCCAATCTGACATATTTAGGTGTACAATGGGGAGAAATTGCTATTTATTCCTATAATTACTCAAATATGGCCAGTGACGATTGTCCAATATGGCGGACTGGCCAGTCAAAGACGAAGCCCCTACATGACCAATTTTTGCACAGTCCACAGTAATGGGGGTGGGGCAGACATTTGGATTGAATTGGCACAAACTCAATCACATGGGGCCTTCCGACCTGTGAATATCTCTAAAATTCCAATTTAATGATATTTTCATGCCTAACTGTGTTACTGGCCAGTTAGTGACGAAGCCTCTATATGGCCAATTTTTGATGAATGGCCAATTTTTTCCTATGGTCTGCTATGGAATTATGAATGACATTTTTGGTGCCAGTGAGGTCCTGAGATGCCAATCTAACATATTTAGGTGTACAATAATTTCTATAATTTCTCAATATGGCCAGTGACGAATATCCAATATGGCGGACTGGCCAGTCAAAGACGAAGCCCCTACATGGCCAATTTTTGCACAGTCCACAGTAATGGGGGTGGGGCAGATTTTTGGATGGAATTGGCACAAACTCAATCACATAGTGCCTTCAGACATGTGAATATCTCTAAAATTCCAATATGATATTTTCATGCCTAACTGTGTTACTGGCCATTCAGTGACGAAGCCTCTACATGGCCAATTTTTGATGAATGGCCAATTTTTTCAGATGGTCTGCTATGGAATTATGAATGACATTTTTGGTGACCGTGAGGTCCTGAGATGCCAATCTAACATATTTAGGGAGAGAAATGCTCTTTATTCCTATAATTTTTCAATATGGCCAGTGACAAATATCCAATATGGTGGACTGGCCAGTCAAAGACAAATCCCTACATGGCCAATTTTTGCACAGTCCACAATAATGGGGGTGGCACAGACTTTTGGATGGAATTGGCACAACACAATCACATAGTGCCTTCCGACCTGTGAATATCGCTAAAATTCCAATATAATGATATTTTCATGCCTAACTGTGTTACTGGCCAGTCAGTGACGAAGCCTATACATGGCCAATTTTTGATAAATGGCCAATTTTTTCCGATGGTCTGCTATGGAATTGTGAATGATATTTTTGGTGCCAGTGAGGTCCTGAGATGCCAATCTAATATATTTATATGAACAATGGGGAGAAATGCTCTTTATTCCTATAATTTTTCAAATATTGCCATTGACGAATATCCAATATGTTGGACTGGCCAGTCAAAGACGAAGCCCCTACGTGGCCAATTTTTGCACAGTCAACAGTAATGAGGGTGGTGCAGATTTTTGAATGGAATTGGCACAAACTCAATCA